AGGGGCAATGGTATCAGTCTGAGGACTAAGATGAGCCTGATTCAGGCCATGGTCTTTTCAATCACTTGCTATGCTGCTGAGAGCTGGACAGTGAATAAGAAGGAGGGAAAACTTGCAATCCCAGAGGTGCAAAGCTTGAATCCACCAGCTGCTCCGCTAGAGAAGGAGGGACAATCTCCTCCTGTACCAGGCAGATCTGATTTGACGGTACACACACAAAAAGATAATAATTTTTTTTTAAATTTTTAAGAAAGAATGAAAAGAACTGATGCCTTTGAATTGTGGTGTTAGAGAAGAGTACTGATTATCCCATGAACAGCCAAAGGAACAAACAGATACGGCCTAGAGAAAGTGCAGCCGGGGTGCTTCTTGGAGGCAAAGATGAAGAAGCGTCATATCACAAACTCTGAACATGTTACTAGGAGAGGTTATTTCTTGGAGAGAGACATCATGCTTGGAAAGGTGGAAGGATGGCAAGAAAAGAAGACCCTCAGTCAGGTGAAATGACACAGTGACTGCAGCAATTGGCTTGAGTGTGTCAAGAGATTGGGAGGATGGCACAGGATAGGACAGAGTTCACATCTGTTGTTCATAGGGTCACTATGAGCTGTACTATTCGAGAGCACCTAACAACAGCAACAAGCCACCAGAGCTCATGATAAAGACTTCCCTTCAGGATATTTGATACACTGTAACAACTTCCAGGATGAAATCTACTCTGATCAGCCATCAGCAGAAAGAAAGGCAGTTCTTTGGGAGCATGGCGTGCATCAGTACATACAATCCCCCCACTCCACCCCACCCCATCCTCATCCCCCCACAAAACTCTTCCTTTCCGCTCAATCAAGATCCTGCATCTTACTCTGGTTCTTGGGATCTGAGCCAATTGCCTGCTGATCTTGGATTCATCAACCTGAGCAGTAACATGCGTTAACAGAAGCCTCTAGACTGATGTATGAATTATAGACTTGGCACCCACCAGCCTCTAGGAGCAGATTAGCCATTTCCCTGAAGGAAATCTACTTCTTCTCTGTCTGTCTCTGTCTCTGTCTCTGTCTCTGTCTCTGTCTCTCTCTCTCTCTCTCTCTCTC